CACACACACACACACACACACACACACACACACACACACACACACACCCCTTTTCCAAAGTCCCATATAGGGGCTAAATAAAGACTCCCAAGGCCCCCATTTCTAGTCCTGTGCCCACTCTATGTCAGCTCCTAAGTGTGGATTCTGGCCCCTCCCCAGGTGACTGGAACATTTTTGTGATCTCTCTTACGTGATGGGGGTGGGAGTTAGTTAACAGCCCCTGAGTGTGTCCTGCTATTGACCTCCCCTGGGTTACTGGTGGGGTCAGCAAGTTAGCTAGCTGCTGCTGCAACTTGAGCCCCTGGCTACTCTGCCCCATGCAGACCACTAGAAGAGCCACATACAAACTTTTCTGCTGGACCTGGGAAATGTCCAGTGGCCACTGCAGTGACAGCCCATCGTCCTTGCCTGAGACAGGCGTGCAGAAGCCCCCTCCATAGGCCATTCTCTTCTAAAGCAATCACCTTGGGGGATGTGTTGGCATAGAAGGGCCTTGAAGCCCACTAATGTAAGCTTTCTTTCAGAATGAGCTGGCCAAGGTCCAGAAGGGCTCTGGATGTGCCCAGGGCGCCAGCTTGAGGCAGCGGCACAGGTCTAGTCGTTTGGTGTCATTATTGTGCTGCCACCTCTACTTTCACCACTACTTTCTTCCTACCACCTCCAGGGAGCAAGACCAGACTTAGGCTCAGGGCGCCCCCCCCCCTTCCCAGCAACTCCGAGTTTTAATGATGTCAAAGAAGGAGGTGCGTGGGCTAGACCATGGTCAGAGCCCAGCACTCTGAGGCCCTAATCCCCACTGGAAGCTACTGTAGTTTAGTCTGTCCTTGTGATTTTCAAGAATTTTGCTATATAGCCCAGGCTGGCCTGGAACTCACAATCCTTCCACTGCTGCCTTTGAAGTGCTAGAGTAATAGGTGTGCCTCACTTTGTCTAGCCCAGGAGCTCCCTTTGACAAGGCCTAGAAGTTTTTGTCTATGGAAGACTGGGAGTAGGAACAGGGTGAGGCTGTGATGAGGGAGCTCTGACCTCTCCCCATGAGGACCAGACTGGCCTGAGACAAAGCCAGGCTTCACTGTGCCCCTTAGGACATGGCTCTCTCCTCCTCTCCTCCTTTAGAAAACTCCACAGACACAGCTTCTATAGAATGCAGGCTGTTCTCCATTGCCTCCCCCTCCTCCCCAAACACAGGACTGGCTTCCTCAGACACACGTACACAGAGCTCAGGAACCTCCACCAGCCTTTGCAGGAGAGCCTGTGTGGAGCACAGAAGCTTCTACTCCTGGCTAGCTGTGTGAGCTGGGGGACCGTCATGTCCCTGTCAAGCTTTCAGCTCCTTCATGCCTGAAATAAAGGGGTTGACAACTGTTTTACACAGGTTATTTTAAGGGCATAAGGTCTCGTGGAGATACCGTGGAGCCTAGCCATGAGACATTAGGATGAGGCTTGAGACTTTTCCCCACAGACAGAAAGTCACATTATTTTTCATGCAATGGCCTCTACCCAATACGTTATTTGAATAAAAGATGCAGCTGCTGCAAGAACTTGGAAATGACTGCCTTGAGCGAGCATTCCAGTTCCTTTAGCTTAAAATGCCCTGATGCATGAAAGAGACCAGAAGGAGCCGTTAGATCATGCCTCACTGCTCACTGATGGCTCATTCATTCATTCATTCATTCATTCTTCATTCTTTCATTCACCAACAACTTTAAAGGGCATGGTGTGTGGACCTGGGGGAATGGCTCAGGGGGTTAAAGTACTTGTCATGAAGGCATGAAGCTCTGAATTCGAAGTCTCAGAATGCATGTAAAGCAGAACATGGCTGTGCACTGTAATCCCAGTGCTCCTATGGTGAGAAGGGAGTCAGAGACAGGAGAATCCCCTGAAGGACACAGGCCAGCTAGCCTGAAGTATGTATGCAACAGCAAAAGCAAGAGACTGTCTCAAGCAAGGGCCAACACTCAAAGTTGTCCTCAGACTCACACACAAGCACTGCACACAAGCACACATGCACACACGCACACACACCTAACACTCATACATCACATTAAGATTAAAAACGAAAACTAAACACTGAGTGTTCACTATTGCCAAGCAAATGGTATTTCCCACCTCTGGTTCCCTGCTAAGCCTGTCCTATCTGCAAATGCAGAGGTGGTGACAGTATGGCACTAGGACCTAGTGGGTGTTTTGGGGAGTCCCCTGTGGGGGAGCCTCCACCTGGGGCTTCCAGGGCCTCTTCTTGGAGGAAGAGCTGGTGTTCTGTGGTGTGTTCCCACCTGTCCAGCTGCCAGGCTACAGTCCACCCCCATTGTTGCCAGACCAGGAGGAAGCTGTGTTGTCAAAACAAAACACTTAAGCTAAGTGGCCATTGTTACATCAGCTAGCCTTCCCACCCAGCGCTGAGCCTGAAGCCCGACACGCACTCCCACATATTCGTACTAAGTCACAGGGGACAAGGCAGAATGAGGCTCAGTGGGGCGTGCCAGGTGCATGCTGATCAGCATGAAACAGATGTTCCAGGTGAAGGGTGTGGCCCTACAGGACAAAGGCGAGCTGTTGGAGGTGCCCCCAGTTTGTGGCTGGGGGATGACAAGGGGTCCTGAGTGTGCTGGTCTGCCATCTTGGGAGCCTGGGCAGCCTCCTGGTGAGGAAACATATATTGGTTTACCCTGTGCATCACGCATATTCACTCATAGCTAGCTGCAGGCAGGAACCCCCAGCATAAGGAAATCTATTCTCCCAAGGACCGTTGCTTGATCAATGAACTGACTTTGGTCCTCTTGTAAGACACTACAATTCCCCCCCCGCCCCAGCATTGAAAAGCGTGACCCACTTGGCAAAAGCACAAGATCTTCACATTTGGCAAAAACAGCACATATACCCAGCGAGACACAATCTGTATCATTCTAGTGACTGCTGTGGAAACAGAAAGGGATCTTTGGGGCCACTTGTCCAACCTTCTTCGTTGGCAGGTTGGGAGACGGTGTAGAGAGGAGAAGATGTCTGTCCCAATTCAAAGGAACCAGCACTAGACTCAAATAGAGAGGATGATGAGAAAGCCACAAATCAAGACTGTATGTGCATCTACGGCATATCAGATGACGTTCTAAAGGAGCCTTAACACACAAAAGACTTTGGAACTCCTTGGGCCAGGTGCTCCGTTCTATAGATGAAGGCACCAAGGGATAGGAAGCCAAAGTGCCCGGGCTCTGTCACTTCTCCCTACCATAGCAAGTAGCTCTTTCTTGTATTACTTTCCAATTGAGGTCTTGCCAGAACTAACCCTCCATCCTCCCGCCTTGGCTTCCAGCACAGCTGGAAGAGCAGGTAGGTACGCCTCATCCAGCTCTGCTTTCCTTTTGAATACGAAAAAGCTGGGTGCCTTCTCCACTCCTTTTTAAGATCCTTGTCCTGCAAGAGCAACAACAGCTCCAGCCCACTGGCCACCACTTCCCCTCTCTCTCTCTCTGTGGGAAGAACAAAACCCACAATGCATCTCCCACGGGGGAAGCTCAGCTTTTAACCTCCATCATCTGTTTTGTCTTGTCTTGTTTTACTTTCTTCTTTTTTGGGGGGACAGGGTCTCACTATATAACCCTGGCTGCCCTTGAACTCACTATGTAGACCAGGCTGGCCCCTAAATTACAAAAATCCACCTGTTTCTGCCTCCTTAGTGCTTCAGTGAAAGATGCACACCACCGCATCTGGCTTCTCCAGCCCACTCTTATTTAATATTAAGAAATCTGAGCCAGGCAGTAGTGGCGCACGCTTTTAATGCCAGCACTCGGGAGGCAGAAGCAGGCAGATCTCTGCGTTTGAGGCTAGCCTGGTCTACAGAGCAAATTTCAGGCCAGCCAGGGCTACATAGAGAGACCCTATGAAAGAAAGAAAGGAAGGAAGGAAGAAAGAAGGGAGGGAGGGAGGGAGGGAGGGAGGAAGGAAGGAAGGAAGGAAGGAAGGAAGGAAGGAAGGAAGGGAGGAAGGGAGGAAGGAAGGAAGGAAAAGCTGTTTGCTATAGACAAGATTAGGGACTACTATAGACCCCTTGCTCTGCCCTGACCCACTATCTATGGGTTTCATCTAGGACAAGAATCCCATTTAAGACCCTTAAATAGTGGGATGGTTCAGCTCTCTTATTCCAAGACATGCTTGGACCTTCCATAGTGATCACAGGACCTACCAGGCCTTTGACACTTAACTCATACATTTGTCCCTGTCATGTCCCCACAGCCACCTTCCACGTTGGTTCCTAACTCTGTGGGACATAAGTTCCCCCAGATGGATATCACCTCTGTAGCCCCATTCCAGGGAAACGCTCTGCCCATCTCCAACATGAACTCACCACCTTTGAGATAGCTCAGTTCCCTTCTTTGGATCTGGGGACTAGCAAATTCCCAAGGAAGACAACCATGGCTATGACCATGGTGCCCTGTGCTTCCTACAAAACACCATTCCTCCCTGTGCACCCTTTTCTGCCAAAAGGACCAGGCCAGAGAGCAGGGGAGAAGAGTATGGAGTAGTAGGGGAGATGATGGGGCCCTCAGCAGAAACGTGCCTGGGTTCAGAATGGATCACAAGCTAGCCACGGCCTAGAGCATAGGATGGGTTGAGTTTCTTCAAACTCGGGGCTTGCTAGATCTTCTAGCACCTCAACTATATCAACAGAGTGCAAAAAGTAAAAATGTGGAAAGGATCAGAAAACAGAACCCAAGGAGAAGTTAAGAAAAGAAGGGAGCATTGCACAAAGCTCTGTGTACACCTGATAGGTATACACGACCCTTTTCTACACAGGATGGGCCCCATTGTTCTCTATCACCCCACAGCAGCTAAAGAAAGAAGCCTGAGATGCAGCAGAGGATACTGTGGTTAGACATAAGGAAGCATTTCCTGTGTACCTTAATTCCCTGGTAAATGGCCTAGAGTAGATAAAAACCCCCTATGAAAATCTTATATGTACCTTTAAAAAGAAAATCACATTTTACTGGGAAGGTTTACAAGGAGGTAATCCTTGAAGATGAGTTAAAATATTCTTGGTTCTCAAACTGGCAAAGACTAATTTAGATTAAATCAGATTCTCAAACAGCAAAGCTGACCGTGTAACAGCAGAGATAGATGCCTTTGCCCAGATCACAGGCCACAGTCCTGTCCAGGCCTCAGCCACCCAGGCCAGGGGTGCATACTAACCAGACCCCATATTTTATTGGTTTCTTCTAGGAGCTCCTTCTAGGGACTAAGATAAAAAGAGGTTAAGATCTCTGGATCCCGGGTAGCTACCAGCTAGCAGAGGCATTCTGTTCTCTCTGAACCCAGGGCAGGCCTTGGCAGCGCCCTGCCTTGCCTCCAGCCTGTCCTGGCTCCTCAAGCCTGGGAGAGCCCCAGAACGGTGGCACACTCACCCGGTGGTGGCTGCCTCTGTCCATGGTGTGAGAAGATGCTGCCAGGCTCAGCTGATGTCAAGGGGAATATCCATGTTGGCCCCTGTGTCCCCCAGCATGTGGAGAAAAGGAGGCTGAGGAGAGGGCCGGCCCCCACCAGATGGGGCGGGGAAGCTGGTCGGATGTGTGAGGTAACTCCGTATAAACAACCTAGAACTTGCCAGACCTGTCCTTCAGCCCCATCCCAGGCCATCCCAGTTACTCAGCTAATACCTGGGCTCTCGAAACTGCCACCACAGGAGCTTATGTGGAGCCTCTGTGTGGGGGTCCCCTTCACCCCCCCCCCAGAGGGTCCTACATAGACTCTGGAATTATAGGAAGCCCGAGAATGTGCGCACCTTAGCCCTCCAGGGACGGCCCTGTCCCTACAGTGTGTCCGTTTCCAAGTGCCCTGTGTCCAAATCCCAAATCTGGGAACAGGAGATTTTTTTTTCTGAATTCTGTTTAATTTTGTGAAAACTCTTAACAAAAAAAAAAAAAGAAAGAAAAGAAATCAGATGGTTTTGAATTATGCACATAAAGCTACCTCCGTTGACAGCAATAAAATATTATGAACTAAATCAAAACCAATTAATATAAAACATGTACGTATTTGAATGGGAACCGGTCCAGGGAATATTAGGCTGACTCATGACCTCCTACCCTGCGCTATGTCCTGATCGTCAGAGGGAAAATGAAACAGAGGAAGAGACACGTGTCCTAAGCCTAGAGTAGCTACGCTAAGAATTGTGGAAGAATGTTCTAGATTCTGAGCATTTAGAAGGCTGGAGGACTTTCTGACAGTTCCTTCCATCTCGTTTTACAGATGAAAATGCTGAGGGTCAGGGTGCCCAGGGAATCGGCAGAATCCACAGGTAGCAAACAATAGCAGCAGCAGTAAGACGCCGCCGGCAACCGTGACAGGACTCACACATTCATCATTCTTTCACGGAGAAAGCACTTACACAGTGTCTGCGACATGCCTGGCCCTGCTCAAACAAGAAGTGGTCAAAACTAAGACGAAATCCTTTCTACGCTTTGGGGATTTTTGTGTCGGTAAATTGCCACAGAGACATTAGAGCGGGGACCGAATCTGAAAGAAGGAACCGATTTCTGAAATCTAGCAATATGTGGCAATCAGGGTCGAGAAACAGTGGACTGAGCAGTTTGCCTCAACGTGGCCCCTCTCTGATAAGGATGAGAGCTGTGACCACTCTGGTCTGCTCCCGTTTCCAACCACAGAGTTTGCCCCAGTCCTACTCATCTCCCCCAGGAGTGCTCCTTTTGTGATGAAGCCTCGGAGATGCTGGAACTCCACCGAGCACCGTGGGGTCTGTGTTTCCCTGAGCAATGATTCTGCACCTGAATAAAACTGTCTTTGCTTTCACTTTTGCCTCTTTTAGGACTTCTCAATTTATGTGCAGTTCTAGGAGCCCAACAGGCCTAGACCGCTGATGCTGTGGTGCCAGCACTGACTGGGGTTCGGGGCTGATCAAACTCAGAAAACCAGTGGAGAAGTCCTGGCATCAGGCAGTGGGAAAGCAAGGCAGGGAGGCTGAGGGTGCCCTGAGAGTTAGGGTGAGTGGCCAGAGATGGCCACTAGGGTGAAGTATGAGGCTGGCTTTCGCCCTCCTTTACATGAACAGATATGGAAACTGCTCTGGCTTAGAATGTTCAGAGGAATCTAAGACACAGAGGCTCACGGGAAAACTCTTGGAAGACCCAGGCACAGAGCCAGCGAGCCTTTGACTTGGATGTGGGACTTCACTGGCTGCTCTACAAAACAGCAGAACTCAGCCTTGGTCCACTCCCTCATACTGTCCACGCTCTCTCTCCGGTCATCCAGGTCTCGGCACAGGCTGGCATTGTGTCCTATATCCTTCTCCTACCCTCTCCTATGGAGGTCCCCTCTGGGAAGCAATGAGCTACAAGGCTGTGCTTGATCCTTGGCAACCAGAGGCCAGGCCTGGAGGTCTCCATCGGTCCCCCGGGCAGATTAGTTGCCTCTTTCAGTCAAGGTTCCTCGAGCCTCTGAAAAAATGCTCAGATGGGGTTCTGGGCAAGTCAGAGGGAACAACTGAAGGCAAAGGCGATCTGGACGTCTCCGAGCGTGCCGTCTGGAAATCAGTGATGACACATAGCTCTAGCAGAGTCAGCTCTGAAGCAGTGTCAGCTTTTCCTTGGTTTCCTGTCCTTGCTAACCAGGCTGTGTGCCCCATCACAGAGTTCCCATCAGAGTGGATTCAGTAAACACAGACAACTCACTCTCAGGCTCCTGGAGCTGGGTTGGACAGGTATGGGAGCAGAAGGCCACTGCAGGGGAGAGCATAGGGCTGCATTGGGGTTCAGAGCACACTAAGGCACGTAAGACTTCTGTGGTCGGTTTCCTCTTTTGGGAGGAAGGCTTTGGGCTGTGTGGACAAGACTCAGGCCCTTCCTCCAGCAGAGCAGGCCTTAAAGCTGCCCCTTCTTTGACTTCCCTACCTGACCCTGGCTGGGATCTGGTTTTCCCTAGCATCTTTCCTCCAGGCTCTATACCCTTCTACCTGGCTGCCCAAGCCTGTCTCCCTCTGACTGGCCCTCCCCTTTCCCTCTTCAAGATTCCTAGCTGCTTTCCGGAGGGACATCCGACATCCGGCAGGCCTGACTTCTCTCTACTGGGGCCTCTCAGCAGCGTCTTCACTTTCTGGATGGGGATCCTGGGGGATACCAGGCCCGTCTTAACTTGGACATTTCCTACCTCTAGATCAACTCCTTTTGGGTTGGAGGGGGCTTTTACATGAAAACCGTGTCGGCCAGGCAAAGAATTTGTGGTTTCTGGCATGAGGGATAGAGAAAATCTCAGTGCTGTTTGGAAAGTATGCTCCCAGCGCTAGGAGCTTCAAGGTTTCATCCGGTGCTACAGTCTATTTGCCACTTGATTCTTAACCTTGTCACCTTCTTGGGGTTCCATTTACAGTAAAGCTCTTCTTCTGGGGGAGCCTCACTCTGGAATCTCCTCCCCAGTTCCTTCCTTGGGACCCTTGAGTGGCCTCTCCTCTTCACACTCCATTTTCATTCTCCATCACTCAACATTATGGGCTTCCTTTCCTCCCAGGCTTGAGGCCAAGCAGGACAGAGAGGAGACATTAAGCCCACCCTAAGGGAGGGGACCACTGGGAGTTACCCCTGAGGGCCAGGACACCTCCCTCTCATTTTCTCCATGCACAGCCCTAATGGAAGGCAGGTGTCTCCTATCCTGCTCCTGCTGGCAGCTGTGAGGCCAGCCCTTTCTCCCTGGCCCCAGGTCTGTAGCAAGTGGATACAGCTGCTGCCTGAGTTTAGGAACTAAAGACTACTTCTTTCTTCCTGCTTTGCCCTCAGGGCTGGAAGAGCATGCACAGGGGAGGTAATCACCTAGGCTGTCCGGTGTAAAAGGATTTCCGATAACCAAGATTCATCATATTTTAAAATCCATCAACATTACCACCAGAAGTCTGAACAAAGTATCAAAAGTTTAAGTAAAAAACAGGATCAGATTTCAGTCTGTATTTCACCATCTATTTTTCTTCCTTCCAGGTTATCAGGGCCTCAGTTTCCTTGGCAACGGATCCCTCTATCTTTGTAAGCTGCCAGCCTGTAGGTTTTCAATGAAAGAGAAGCTTCTAAGGCAACCAAAAACACAGGGACCTGCATCCAAGGAAGGAAGATCCCTCTTGGCACAGAGCAGACACCCGCCCTTACAGAGCTGCCAGCTTTACCATCCCTGGCCATTGGATCTTCCTGGAAGTACTGTTTCACTGTAAACCTCCATGAGCCTGTCTGGTTCAGAATCAGTACCTGGTACCTGTCTGACCATTGTCCAGGTGCGGCTACTTCTCCTAACACATTCTAAGAAATGTTTTCTTTTTCTTTTCTTTTCTTTTTTTTTTAATACAAGGTCTCATGTAATCCAGACTGGCTTTGAACTAGATATGCAGCCAAGAACGACCTCGTCATTCCCCTGCCCCTGTCTCCTAGGTGCTAAAGTTACATGCCAGTTTTATGTGGTGGTGGGGATTGAATCCAGGGCTGCCTGCATGATAGGCAAGCACTGTATCAACTAAGCCCCAGCAACAAGGTTTGTTTTCTAATTAACAATGCATCAAGAAGCATGAGCCAGGAGCAGTGGCACATGAGCCTGTAAGAACAGGATGAGGAAAGTAGAGGCAGGAAGATTTGGAGTTGGAGAACAGCCAATTCAACATAGTGCGAACCTAGTGTGTCCCTGAGTAGCCTGGAATTCCGACCAAGAAAGACTGTCTCAATAAGAAAACAGCAACAACAGAACCAGAGGAAGTATATCATTGACTTCTGACAAAAAAAAAAAAAAAAAAACACATAGATACCACGCAACCACTACGACAACCAAGAGCTAGAATATTCCCATCAACTTCAAAAACTTCCTCCCCGCAGTTTCAGGCAAACACAACCTACCTCCTGTCTCTAGGTTAACTTTCCCTTTCCTAGAATCTCATAGAAATCCGCCCTAAGCTTCATGGTGGGCAGGAGCACAGCTGGGCAGGGCACAGTCTGGCCCTCAGGGGGCACTCACGCAGAGGCTTCTGTTCAAGGCCGTCAGGAGGTGGAGGCACTCCTCAAGCCAAGAGGCAAAGGTCCCCAAGGGTCAGCGTGGTCCGGTCCCCAGCTGCTCTCTTTGCTTTTCAAAGGAAAGCTAATAGGGGCTTTACAATGAACTGCTGCCACTGCGGTTTCCATTTTCAATAGAAACTGAGGCTGGAGCTGGAGAACAGGGCCGAGGAGGAAGTAAGGAGAGACACACCAAGAAGAAATTAGAAAACAAATATGACCAAAGGACCACCCAGTGACCCCTTTTCCCAGCACATCTGTGACCCAGAGAGCCTGGAGCCCTCGTGCCAAGTGCTTCTTTTGACCTTCCAGATCTTTGCCAAGATTAATGTGGGTAAAAACAAAATCTTTTCTCTCCCTGGCGTGTTCCCAAAGTGTTGTCAGATCTCCCGAGTCAG